CGTATGTGCATGCATGCCCATGATCCCGAGAGGAGAATGGAGGAGAATGAAGCGTGGCGTGGCCATCCCCCCTGGGGAGTGATTTCTCGCTCTCTGTCTCTCTGTCTCTCTCTGTCTTTCTGGCAAGCGCACATGCACCCAAAAAAAAAAACTCCCAAAAAAAAAAAAAAAAAAAAAAGAAAGAAAGAAAGGTAATTGTTTTAGAAATAAAAGTCTATTGTACCTTACCATGGATATTGTAGCTTTAACTGCTGTTTTTGAAGGAAATACATACTGAGAGGGGGGAAAATCTAATATCTACATAAATACAGCTATTACTACTTTTTTTTTTTTAAGAAATATTTTTGTTGTAGGGCCTGTGCACTCACTGGAGAGATAGAAATAGAGAGAGTGAGAAATCACCCCCCCTCCCCAGAGGGGATGACCACACCACAATCCCTTCTCCTTCATTCTCCTCTTGGGATTTTGGGCATGCATACACACCCAGCGTGATTTTCAAGCTGCCAGGTCCAGGACTGGAACTGTGGCCAGCCATGTGGGAGCACTTGAACCACTATAGTACCTGCTTGCCCCCTACTTTGAATTACATCATGATAATCAGTAATCTCTGATTACGTATGTTATATTAATTTAACTAGGAGGGAGTAAGAGAGGACGTTTAAATTACTTTTTTCTCTAATCCTTGTTATTTGAGATGAAAGAGTTTCTTTCTCCTTTTCTCTTTTTTCTCTCTTTGTCTTTTTCTTTGTCTCTCTCTCTTCCTCCCTCCCTCTCTTTCTTTCATTCTTTCCAGAGGATATGTGCACTTGACGGAGAGAGACAGAGACAGGAGGAAAGGGAGAAAGCACCCCCTTACTGGGCATGGCCCTTTCACAATCCTTTCTCCATTGTCTCTACCTTGTGAAGACTTTGGTCATGCTTACACAGGCCCTGCGCCTTTTTCAAACTACTAGGGCCGTGAACTGTGCTTTGGACATGTGGACTCCAGTCTTATCCACCAAGCCACAGGGCTGGCCTGATAGGATTTGTTCCTGACAAATGAAGTAAGGCCGAAGGAAGGAAGGAACAGGAAGGGAGGGAGGGGCCAGCCAGTGGAGTTGGGGCGACTGGATCCAACTTGGCCAGCTGCATGGTTTGAGTCCTGGTGACTTGAAGAACACTGTGTGCATGTGCAAATGTGACCAAAACATCAAGAGAATGGGAGAGGAGAAATTAGGGTGTGGATGTCCCTCCTAAGGGGTGCTTTTTCACTTTCCCTCTCTCTACCCCACCCCCCCCAATTCACTCCCATAAGTGACTGCACCTTATAGCAAAATCTTCTAAAAATTTAAAGCAAGGGTGGGAAGGAGAGAAATTGGGAGACTGTCTTTTTCTCTTGTAGTTTTGGTTGCTTTTGTTTTCTTTAAAAATTGGTTCTTGCCATTTTTATTTTGAAATCATTGTAGATTTACAGATGACTGGAAAATGTATAGGGAAATCCCACATGTGAGATTATAGGTTTTTTTGTTGATGTTTTTGTTTTTACTTGAATGGTCAAATCTTACTAACTTAGGTTAACCCCGCCCAATAGTTGGATAGGGTTGCTCTTGTATTCACTGAATTCTTTTTTTTAAAGGGAGAGATTTTTGCTGTAGGGTATATGCACTCACCCAGGAGACAAAGAGAGAGACAGAAAAAGTGAGAAATCATCCTCCAGAGTGGATGGCCACACCACAAGCCTTTCTCCTCCTGCTTCTCTCAGGATTTTGGGCACACACACACACACATGCACCCAGTGTGAGTTTCAAGCTACCAAGTCCAGGACTCAAACCACAGTGGCCATGTGGGAGTCCATACCTTAACCACTACACCACCTGCTCGACCCGCACAGAATTCTTAATGGTCTATTTTTCAGGGAGGCCTGATGTTCTTTTTTGCCCCTTAATTGGGAGGGCTGGATAGGCATTTGAAATGCTGTCTCGGCTTGATACTGGAAGCAGAATGCCCTGCTGTAATATGCTGTAATGCAGTGAAAACAATGTAGACTTGACATGGAAGAGCCTGGATCTCATACTGCACTCAGCCACAGTAACCGTAGCCATTGAAATCCAATTTCACCTTTCCCTTAGTTATGTGGAATACAGGTACTAAAGCAATTTGGAAACTAAAGCCCTGGGCTGTCATTATTATGAAGCCACAACAACACTAAAACTCCTTCACTGGTTATAATTCCCATGAGAAAAATTACTCCTTTGAGTTGGACAACAGGGCCAAAGGATTTTTGTTTGTCTGCTTGTGTAAGAGTTGTCTTCCCTTTATTCATGATAGAGCACATGTGTGTGCGTGCATAAAAGAGAGAGGGAGGGCGAGGAGAGCATCCCTCACAGGGTCTGGTCAGGCTTCACTCCCCTTTCTCCAGTCCCCCAACTCATCGGATTGTGGGTATTTCACTCATGTGCCTGGCATGTTTCAGGCTGACCAGGCCAGTGATTCGAACTGCTTTCACAATGGATCCAACTTCTGAGCATCACAACACGGCTGTGCCATGAAGCCAGCTCAAGGCAGAAGAATTCGACACAAGTTTTGTGGAATAATTTTATGCAAAAAGTTGCCTTCGTCCTCTGAGAAACCCAGGAGCACAGCGCTAAGAATGGAGTGCCCAAGCGCTCCCATGCAGTAGCACCTGCTCATCAAGTTAGCTGCTTGGTATCTGGCCACAGAGGCCCAAAGCCAGCAGAGATGGATAAGGGAGATGCCCATGTGGGGCCCTGTGACTGTTCCACAGTACTGTGTGGCTGAGGAAGAACCTTGTGTTCAGTGCATATTTTATTTCAGATGGGATTCTTCTTTCGATTTGCAAGTGAGAGTTCATAAAATCCCTCATTGTAGATTCAAATAGCCAAAGGGCAAAAAAGCAAACCTAATGATGATGGGATTGAGTTCTTCCTTAAAGCGCTAAATACCTCATTAGGTTCTTTATGCTCTCTCTCATTGAATCACACTGAATGATCCTATGAGGTAGGTACTCTTGTTACCCCAGTATACAGATAGGGAAGCTGAGGCTTCAAATGATTAACAACCCAGGATCACATAAGTACCAAATGTCAGCGTCACTTCTCAATTCAGACACCAAAGCTCATGTTGTTATACTATGATAAGCTCTCACCATCTTTTTTTGACAGTTAGGAGATAGAGTGCCTGAGAGGGTAAGACTCATGGTCACTCTCCTTCCTACTCTTGGGTCTTTTCCTACATTGTATTCTCTTAATAATTGCCTATTAATGTGCAGTTCGTCAAGTATTTGATTTGACAGAGTACTCCGTACATTCGATGACTGTGTCAGATTGATAGTTACTCACGCTTTAAGCTTTTAGGTAGAATGAGATTTCGAATTTTAAAAGAATTACCAACCTCGGGAACCAGCAGTTAGCGTAATGGCTATGTTGCTGGACTCCCACGTAGGCAACCACAGTTCGCGTCCCAGACCCAGTGGCTTTAAACTCACGCCAGGCGCGTGTGCGTGCGTGGCCAAGATCCCGAGAGGAGAATGGAGAAGGGATTGCGGCGTGACCATCCCCCCGGGGGGTGATTTCTCGCTTTCTGTCTCTGTGTCTCTGTCTGTCTGGCGAGCACACGCACCCTATAGCAACAGCCTCTCAAAGAAAAAAAAAAAGAATTACCAACCTCGGGAACCAGCAGTTAGCGTAATGGCTATGTTGCTGGACTCCCACGTAGGCAACCACAGTTCGCGTCCCAGACCCAGTGGCTTTAAACTCACGCCAGGCGCGTGTGCGTGCGTGGCCAAGATCCCGAGAGGAGAATGGAGAAGGGATTGCGGCGTGACCATCCCCCCGGGGGGTGATTTCTCGCTTTCTGTCTCTGTGTCTCTGTCTGTCTGGCGAGCACACGCACCCTATAGCAACAGCCTCTCAAAGAAAAAAAAAAAGAATTACCAACCTCGGGAACCAGCAGTTAGCGTAATGGCTATGTTGCTGGACTCCCACGTAGGCAACCACAGTTCGCGTCCCAGACCCAGTGGCTTTAAACTCACGCCAGGCGCGTGTGCGTGCGTGGCCAAGATCCCGAGAGGAGAATGGAGAAGGGATTGCGGCGTGACCATCCCCCCGGGGGGTGATTTCTCGCTTTCTGTCTCTGTGTCTCTGTCTGTCTGGCGAGCACACGCACCCTATAGCAACAGCCTCTCAAAGAAAAAAAAAAAGAATTACCAACCTCGGGAACCAGCAGTTAGCGTAATGGCTATGTTGCTGGACTCCCACGTAGGCAACCACAGTTCGCGTCCCAGACCCAGTGGCTTTAAACTCACGCCAGGCGCGTGTGCGTGCGTGGCCAAGATCCCGAGAGGAGAATGGAGAAGGGATTGCGGCGTGACCATCCCCCCGGGGGGTGATTTCTCGCTTTCTGTCTCTGTGTCTCTGTCTGTCTGGCGAGCACACGCACCCTATAGCAACAGCCTCTCAAAGAAAAAAAAAAAGAATTACCAACCTCGGGAACCAGCAGTTAGCGTAATGGCTATGTTGCTGGACTCCCACGTAGGCAACCACAGTTCGCGTCCCAGACCCAGTGGCTTTAAACTCACGCCAGGCGCGTGTGCGTGCGTGGCCAAGATCCCGAGAGGAGAATGGAGAAGGGATTGCGGCGTGACCATCCCCCCGGGGGGTGATTTCTCGCTTTCTGTCTCTGTGTCTCTGTCTGTCTGGCGAGCACACGCACCCTATAGCAAAAGCCTCTCAAAGAAAAAAAAAAAAAGAATTACCAATCAATTTATTTGATTTCTCAGCGAAGCATTTTCTACCAGACTCCTATGAAGGAGACAGTGTCTTCCATGTTCTATTAAAAGTTGAACCTTGTGACTACTGTCTGAATGTCTTTCTCTTAGAGAAATCAGTCTGTGACCTCATGTAGAAAATAGCCACCAACTCTCTATCCAGCATCATTTTTAGTTCTTTAATTTTGGTAAGCCCACATTTTCAAAACAGATTAAGTTTGTCTGATTTTTTTCAGGAGTATATATTACAGAGCATTCAAAGGCAAATGAGAATTCACATGGGCTAGAGAGCTTTTCACAGAGGCCCATCAGGAGGTAAGCATTTCTGCTGGGAGCTTTGGTTATCGGATTTAATCATTGGTATAAATATTCTTTTTGAAATTCAATTGACATATCATTAAAATTGCTGCTCTTTTTTTTTTTTCCTCTACATTTTTCAAGAGACAGAAGATGATATACTGGCAAGTTCTAGAAGGATCCTATCATTTTCTTCTCTACCCTGAAGAGTGTTGGAAATTAACGGGTAACAGTTGCGTGAAATTTTCTGAATGTTTTTTCTTCTTATCTGTGAGGCCTTCTGTGGAGAATTAATAGGAAACCTCCTATGAATAAAATGGATCATCTTAAAGGATTGAAGTTCCAAAAATATATCAGCAGGACTGGACAGGTTTGACATAATGAGATTTCTATTTTAGCTTGACTTCTGGAACTCCGTGTAACCTATAAACTGAGCTACACAGAGTCCAAGGGAGGACGTTGCTCTTCTAAAATATTCTGGTGACATGAAACATTTTTCTTCTTCAGATCCTTTAAAAACGTATATCCTACCGTCAGTTTCCTGAGGAGTAGGACGATTAGACACTAACTTTTAGTCTCTGAAGTGGGATAGGAAGCAGCAGTCTGTTATACCACACTGGAAAACAAACTTCACTGAAGAAACAGACGCCAGGAAATCAGAGGAGAAATTTCTGCTTGAGATGGCAGAAGCTCCCGAGGATACTGCTGCGCCGCCCGCCACAGTGAAGAAGAAGAAAAGCCTTTCCATCGAGGAAAAGATCGACATCATCAACGCGGTGGAAAGTGGAAAGAAGAAAGCAGAAATCGCAGCCGAGTACGGAATAAAGAAAAACTCCTTGTCTTCTATTATGAAGAATAAAGACAAAGTTCTGGAAGCCTTTGAATCTCTGCGATTTGATCCAAAGAGAAAGAGACTGCGAACTGCTTTTTACACAGATCTGGAAGAGGCACTGATGAGGTGGTATCGAATTGCTCAGTGTCTAAATGTGCCAGTGAACGGTCCCATGTTGCGTCTAAAAGCTAACGATTTTGCCCAGAAACTGGGGCATAATGATTTTAAGTGCAGTAATGGTTGGCTAGATCGTTTTAAATCCAGGTATGGTTTAGTATTCAGAGCTCAACCTGTAGAAGCTACAGGTGTGTCAGTAGACCCTTCAACTGTCTGGTACCAAAATGTACTTCCTTATTACCTGAATGATTATCATCCTAAAAATGTTTTTAACATCAAAGAGACTGGGCTGCTTTATCGAATGTTACCTACGAACACATTTGCATTTAAAGGGGAAACGTGCTCAGTTGGGAAGTTATGCAAAGATAGGATAACTCTGGTGGTTGGCACAAACATGGATGGCTCAGAGAAACTTCCTTTGCTTGTCATAGGAAAGAACAGAAATCCACACTGTTTCAAAGGTATCAAATCATTGCCTGTGTACTATGAAGCCAACAGGAGGGCATGGATGACCCCAGATATATTTGAACAATGGATGCAGAAGCTCGATGAGAAGTTTCAAGCCCAGCAACGGAGAGTGGTGATTTTTGTTGATTCTTTTCCTGCGCATCCAGAGGTAAAGAACCTCAAGTCCATTGAGTTAGCTTTCTTTCCATCATGTTTATCTTCCAAATGTATAGCTATGAAGCAGGGGGTTATTAAAAGCCTTAAAATCAAATATCGACATTGTCTCATCAAGAAGTTTTTAAGCTCTGTGGAAAGCAGCGAAGAATTTACCTTTTCACTACTAGATGCAGTCGACACGCTGCATCTCTGTTGGAGAGCTGTAACCCCAGAGACTATTGTTCAAAGCTACCAAGAGGCAGGATTCACATCCCAAAAGGGAGAGAGTGACACAGGTACAGATAGGGACACTGGTCTTGATTTGGGTGCCCAGGCGCTTGCGACAGAAGAGGAGGTTCCCGAAGGCCTGTCTATTGAAGAGTACGCCGCCCTCGATGACGATCTGGAGACATACGAAGTAGTGCCAGACGACTCGGTGTCCACTAAAGAGAGCAAATCAGATGAGACTGGACTTGATACTTCTGATGAAGAGGATGATGGCGGAGCCCTAGGAGCCGAGCTCTCTTTACCATCAAAAAATGAGGCAATAAGTGCTTTAGTTACGCTTAAACAATTTCTTAGAAGTCAAGATATGAATGATGAGCTCCATAATTCTTTAGCAGACCTTGAAATTTTTATGAGTGCTTTATCACCTAAATAATTATTTATTGTACACCAGAAGCGTAATAGCTTTTCCTGATGTCTTTGCTAATAAGGTATGTAAAGGAGAAAGACCACTTCAACATAAAAAACTAGTGATCTTTGATTTAATTGCAAAAGACTTCGGTCTGTATTACAAATCTCCCTAGTAAACAGTCATGAGGTTATAAAGATTACCATTTCTAATTAGCAAGGTTTTGGGGTATAGAAATATATCTCAGAGGCCTTGTACTTGACACACATGGTATATATGTCAAACATAAAAAGAACTTTCCAGATACCTGATTCATACACATTGTTTTGGTGATTATTATTTTATCTAGTCTAAAAAGCAAAATATCTATTAAGAGCTTAGGTATTTATTTTTATAGAGACCTAAATATGCCATGTGTTCTAACTACAGCTATACTTTGAAGTATCAAGTATTAAAGGAATTTTAAGTTAGTTTTTTCATAACCAACCTTCTTAATGAGAAGCTATGAAAGACTACTAAAAATAAAATCTGATTATATATCAAAATAATCAATATATGTCTGACTACTTTGAAGTTATTTTTATGTAAAGTCAAATGAAAGTCTATTACCCTGTCAGGTTTTTTTTGTTATCTACAAGCAGAAGATAAGAATCCTTTTCAATATTTACATGTATGTGTGTATTTAATAGAGAAATACATTATTGAAACATTTATTAAACTCTTACAATATTTATATTTTAATAGGATTACTTTTAAGAAGGCAACATGATAATACATATGCAGTTACTTTAAAAAGAAAATCTGTGGTACTTAGATATTTTTCTAATGTTTAATAGTTCTAGCTTTTAATCTATAATATTTAGTTATTTTCTTGATTTTACTGAATTTTATTTTCAAGAAAAACTAACCATCCTTTTATCATACATTGATGTACTTAATTCTTTTTCAAATTTAATCAGAATTTTTATTATAATTCTGCTTAAGGAAGTTTTAGCTACAGAATGTCTTAAAATAGTGTTTGAAATTATTTAATCTATAAAACAGCCTTTGAATAGTAGCATATTATAGCAATGTGTCAGACTTTTCCATTGTTACATTTTAAATAGTATGCTTATTTAATTTATTACAGCTAATGTGGGGTCCCCTTTGAGGAGTATTTTGTAAAAATATAAAAAATATAGATTATTTTTATTATGAATAATTATTAGTCTGCAAACAGATGACACAGTTGTGAGGAAATAATTATAGAAAGTTTTATTTTCCACTGTTGACTTACGCTGCTTTTGAGATTTAGTAATGGTATGCCTTAAAAAAAAAAAAGTATTACAATGAGCAAGTTTCTCTTAGTGTGAAATACGGGCTCTTCAAATTAAAAGCATTGTCTTACTGATTTACATTTGGTGGGCTCATGGACCTAAAGGAGCATTTGAGAGCACCCCCTGCAGCTGTGGTCCTTACCATCTATCGAGCCCCCAGTAAATTTTTCATTCTTTCTCCACTTGATGCCATTTGCCTATCTATTTTATAGTTGTTCCAGATGCTCTATGATAAAAGAATTATTATCTTCATTTTTCTTAGAGGTGAAAAAATTTTAACTTGGAAAGATGTAATGATTTGTTAAAAATCCCAGAGCCCAAAATAAAACGCAGTAGTTCCTTGTCACCTAATCCTGCATCGCTCTAACTACTGATATACACCACAATGTTTGTCTATAGTCTGCACAAGAAAATCCTCTCATCTTTTTCCCTTGAGTTTAGGGAACTGAGGGCAAGGTGTTTCCAGGAATATGCTAGATTCATGCTGACAGACTATAAGATCTCTCTTGAGAACACTATTACTAATGAAATACTGGGATATCTTCTGATTTGTCAATTCTGTACCATACTACAACAGAGGTATCAATGTAATTCTATTGAAAAAAAAAAGTTTTTAATTGATAGGATGTACATGCAGTTGCCAAAGAAAGAAGAGGGAGAAAGCACTCCCCAGTGGAGTATGGTCACACAGCAATCTCTTCTCCATTTCTCCCTCCTATCAGGATTTGGGACACACAAACACACACACACACACACGCACACACGCCTAGCACTCTTTCAAGCCGCTGGTATCAGGATTTGAGACTGTGGGGCTTGCCATGTGGGATCCGACTCCTTTACCACAAGGCCATGGGCCAGCCCTGAAAATATATTTTTTAATTTTGGTATTTCCAAAGTGCTGAAAGAAGCCACTGCATTTACCCTAGATGACACGATCCATTTCTTACCATAAATGCTTCTGAGGCATCATAAATCTAAATATGGATCATAATAAGATAAAACTATTAGAAAAATGCCTACAGATCTAAATTTAAAAATTGTTAATGTTGTACACCTTTTTGTATAGTTCACAAGATGTATGGATTTAAACAACTCGGGGGCAAACGTTTTCTAAATTAACTTTTCCCAGGACGTAGACAATGGCTGCATGCCTCGGTCCTCATTATCTTCACTAGATACAGTCAATATAGTTAGAACGACCTGTCACTTGTGTTTTCAAGAAACAACTTGATTAACCACTGCCTGTTTGTCAGTTAAATGCGGGATTGTTTTTATTGCTCTTACCTTATAAATCCCTGCTGTTTCAACAGTGTCTTTGCTTCTTTCTGTTTAATCGAGAACAAATCTTATATTGGATGTGGGACATTATTTCACTACCAATGGCTACTGAACTACTAGTGAAAGATTTGGCTCATGATAAAGCAGGGTGATGAATACGCCAAGGCCCGCGGACCTCATGCTGCCTGCTCAGCTGCTCATGTGGACTGGAGACCAAGTCTCGAGCCCCCCTTTCACTGTGCACAAAGTAGATTCAGTGGAAGGGGTGGGGGAAGTGGTGTTAAGGACAGTTTTCCAAGCACACGTCTCAAGTGTCATGAGAAACCTCTTTCAGGTGCTGGTCCAGTAGGGCTCCAGCTACTCAGGGACTGTCAGAGACAGGTTTGTGCCACAGAAGCAGCGCCAGACATTTGGTTCAGGGTTCAGCGTCGGGCGAGGTCTTCGAGTCACCAGGTGCTACCTAAGTACGATATGGTGTAGGTCAGCCAGGCTGCACCAGTTACTGAGACCTCCCCTCCACAGTTGGAGAGGCCGAGGTTGGGGGCCATGGTGGACACACAGCAAGTTCTCAGAAAGAGTTTCATTCGATGGAGTAAATTAAAGCTAGTCCTGATTCTATGCTACCTTGTGAGGCGCAGAGTCCTGTTTCTCTGAATCTTACTTTCCTCTAGTCATAAAACGAGACTGATGACAGTGGCCACTAAATGTTCGTGACAGCTTTCTCATTGTCATTTTTCTGTTTCTTAAAATAGGGGAGCCAATGTTTCTAGAATATGCAGCTTATCTATAGAAATAAATAATTATTTATATTTTGGATGAGGAGAAAAGGCAACTTAAAAACCTTTATTTTGGGACCAGCAGTTGGGGTAATGGCTATGTCGCTGGACTCCCATGTAGTTGACCACGGTTTGAGTCCCGGACTCAGTAGCTTAAATTCACACCTGGTGCATGTGCGTGCATGCCCAAGATCCCGAGAGCAGAATGGATGAGAAGAGATTGTGGCGTGGCCATCCCCCGGGGGGTGATTTCTCGCTTTTTGTGTCTCTGTCTCTCTTGCTAGCGCACGTGCCCTATAGCAAAAACTCTCAAAAAAACAAAAACAAAAACAAAGACAAAACTTTCTTTTTCCTGAGCTGAACTTTACGCAAACCAATACAATAAAATAAATATTTATCACAAAGTAATCCTATCAGTTACCATGTTTGTTGATTAAATTGTCCTGCTTCTTTGAGCGCTAATTAACTTGTGAAGCCTAGGGTAGCCAGAGTCAGGGCACCCTATAATGAAGACACTTGTGTAGTAGTCTCAGGCCACCATAGCAACACACTAGACTGAGTGAGTGAAACTACAGAGACGTATTTCTCATGGTTTTGGAGGCCAGGAGAGCAGGGTGCCAGGCTGATCAGTTCCCGGGACTCGCTCTCTGGGTTAGAGAATGCTGCCTTCCTGCTGTGTGCTCACATGACCTCTTCTTCGTGTGAGCATGGACAAAGAGCAAGCTCTGGTGTCTTCTTCGAAAGGCTCTGGTCCCCTCAGAAAGACCCCCAACGAACCTTCTAGGATTAGGGCTTCAACATAGGAATTGGGGGCGGGGACACAAACAGCCTATAATAATTACCTGTATGAATAAAGGTATTCACATGTTAATTTAGTTTCTCATTAGGGCATCCTAATGGGAAATTCAAATATTTCAGAATTTATTAATCAGCCATACCTATTAATCAGAATTTGTTATTCAGTCATACCTATTAACCAGGATTTTAAAGTTAATGACATATCTCTTGAAGAAATGGAATCATATTTCATGTTCTTGAATAAATGAGAAGACTTGATATTGAAATATATTAGTTCCCCCCAAGTGAAATCCTAATCAGAATTCCAATGCAGTTTTGCTGAAAATTTTGCAAAACAATTATTTTCATCTAGAAAAACAAATATAGCTAAGAAAAATTTAAAAAATAAAACTAATGGGGGAATATTTGACCTACCATAAGTCTAAACAGTATGGTATAGGCAAAAAAAAAAAAAAGGAAAGAAAAATAGATCAACCTAAGGAATAATATATGATATCTAGATAAACACCAATAATTTCGTACATAAAATTTAGTATAATGGGACCAGTAGGTGGCATGGTGATTAAGGCACTGGACACTCCCACATGGCCAACCATGGTTCAAGTCTCGGACCAGGTGGCTTTCTGTCTCTCTCTTTCTGTTTCTCTCTCTCTGGTCAAATGAAAATGAATGAACAAATAAAGTTAAATAAATAATTCTTTAAAAACTTTAGTACAAAAATAAGAGTGGTGAAAAGATTTAGTAACTGGGATGGGGCAACTTGGATAACTAGGATTTTTAGAAAGCCATGCAGACCTGAACTCTGTAAGGCTTAAACTCTTACAAGGGAGAAAGAAGGAAGGAAAGAAATGAGTAAATAAACTTGCAAACACCAGTGAAAACTATAGATAGGGAAGGTCTTTTTCAAAGCAGGATACTCGGGACCAGCAGATGGTGCATACTGATTATGTCACTGGACTCCTACATGGCCAACTGTGGTTCAAGTCCCAGACCTGGAGACTTGAAACTCATGTTGGGCACAGGTGCGTGCGTGCTCAAGATATCGAGAGGAGAATGAAAAGAAGGGATTGCAACATGGCCATCCCCCTTGAGGGGTGATTTCTCACTTTTTGTCTCTGGCTCTCTGGTGAGCACATGCACCCTATAGCATAAAATCTCTCTTATAAAAATAAAAAGGCAGGACACTCAGGACCAGCCAGTGGCGTGGTGGTTAAGGCGCTGGATAACCACATGACTGACCACAGTTTGAGTGCCA